CCCAAACCAGCATGATAATGGGCCCTACAAAAACACTAAATGATAACAGCCAGTGTGGGCTGCCCAGTGGTCAAGAGCAGAGTCTTGGAGATTGAGCCCCAGCTCTGGCACTGATGGAGTCTGCAAGAGATTAGCACTCTTTCTAAAGCCCAGTTTTTATAGTACCTATCTCATAGGGTGGTTCATAAAGGTGAATTAAGATAAGGAATACAGGGCTGGCCAGTTAGTTCAGCTAGTTAGAGTACGGTGTTATAACACTAAGGTCAAAGGCTTGGATCCCCATACTGGCCAGCTGCACAATTAAAACAAAAAAAGTTAAGGAATATAAAGCACAGCACCTAGCACATGGTAGGTCGTCAATAAAAATAAGATATTAATATTATATACAGTAGACTTTGCTGGAAGATTTATAAAACCTTATTATTCCTTTCATTATTCTAACATACAAAGGCAGCTTTAAAAATTGGCCTTCCCCTGACATGGCCATACTCTCTTCCCTTGTTCCCGTCTACTGAAGCTTAATGCAAAGTACTTCATCAGATTCTTTCCCTGGAATACTTAACACAGAACCTATCCATTCACTCAGTCACCACCTGTTGACTGAGGAGCTTGTCAAATCTCATCCTTTCTCCAAAGCCCAGCTCTCCTCATACCTGACCCCAAATACACAAAGGATTTCTCCAACCTCAAAAATTCTATAGCATTCTTCTATAGCAGAGTTTCCCAACCTCAGCACTACTGACATTTGGAGTAGGATAATTTTTTTGTGGGGAGGTATACAGCTCTGGCCTCTACCCACTAGATGCCAGAGGCAAACCCCCTCCCCCCAACCAAGCACAGGCAAATTTGACAATTGAAATAACCTCCATATATTGCCAAATGTTCCCTGGGAAGCAAAATTGTTTCTAATTGAGAATTACTCTCCTGTAGCATTATTACTGGTAGGTTAATCCATGTGAGTTTAAGCCTCTTGACATTGTATGTGCTTTTTAATTAAGTTATTGTTAATTTATGGTTTGCTTCATTAACTATTTTTGTGTACCTCTCTTCTTTGTGTAAATATCTGATAGATTCCCTACAGACAGTGTATATGTTACGCTCCTGTGCATCTGCCAGTGATTGATTGCTCCATGTCATCTGCCACTGGGTGATTGATTCATTTTGACATAGTGCATAAGAGCAAGGACTCTGGAGCCAGATGTCTGAGTCTTAATTCTGGTTCCACCACTTACTGACTGTCACTTTGGATAATTTACTTCATCTCTCTATAGTTTAGTTTTATCATATATAAAAAGGGGAGAATAGTATCCTCATCATAAAGTTCTTGTGAGGATTAAATAATGTATGCAAAACACTCAACCTAATGCCTGCCCACAGTAAATGCTACCCAAATATTAGCTATTACAATGTGTGTAGAACACCAAAGGATTCAAGTTAGTAGAATGGGTGATTTCTGCCCAACAAGAATGTTTCATATCACTGAAAAAAGATGAAAACCATATCCAAAAAGTTAGAAGACACATACAAAATAAGTATTAAGTATCTATAATGAGCAAGCTGTTACAATGTAGTGTATGAATGATTGCCAAAAGAACAATATAAATATTCAGAAATCAGAGAAGGGAAAAAAAATCACAGTGGAGTGGAATGGTAGGGGAGGAAGTCACAGATGAGGTAAAACTTAAGGAGGATTTTGAAAAACAAGTTGTAAAGAGGTGATGAAAGAGTCTAGGCAGAACCTCCCTGTTCACTGCAGCATTATTCACAGTAGCTAAGATATGGAAAAACCCGAATATCCATCAACAGATGAATGAATAAAGAAAATATAGTACACACATACCGTAGAATATTATTCAGCCTTAAAAAGAGGGAAGTCCTACCATATGCAATGACATGGGTGGACCTAGAAGACATCATGCTAAGTGAAATAAGCCAGTCACTAAACAACAAATTTTGCGTGATTCCACTTACATGAGGTATCTAAAACAGCCAAACTCATAGAAGTGAAGACTGGAATGGTGGTTGCCAGCGGCTGGGGAGAGGGGAAATGGGAAATTGTTCTTCAACGGGTGTAAAATTTCTGTTATGCAAGATGAGTAAGTTCTAGAGATCTGCTGTACAACATAGTGCCTGTATAGTTAACGCTGGTGTATTGTGCACCTTAAAATATGTTAACAGAACAGATCCATGTTAAGTGTTCTTACTAAAAAAAAAAAAAAAAAAACCCCGCAAAAGAACACAAGCGAATTTTTGGAGGTGATGGATATATTTAGTACCTTGGATGTGCTGATGGTATCACAGGTGTACACGTATGTCCAAACTCATCAAGATGCATACATTAACTGTGTGCAATTTTGTATATCAATTATACCTCACAAAAGAGTCCAATATGAAGCAGATTTTTAGCATACATATTTCTTCATTTCAACAAGAATAATAGTAACTCATGATCATTGAATATTTTCTACATTCCAGATAGTATACAGAGCACTTTGTATTTATTTATATTTAAATTAAATTGAATTAAATTAATGCTGACCTATGGTGGACTACATTTCACAGATGAAAATACTATGTGAAAACATGAAAGAGAGGCTGGCCCAATGTCATATGATCACTGAGTGTTACAGAAGAGATATAAACAGTTATGCTCTCAGCCACTATACTAATGTCTTCCACAGAATCTTTTTTCTCTAAATATCTCTTTGCAACTTTTTCTGTAGCATGTGTCTCAGAAATTCTGCCACTCTGAGTTTTTTGGGTTTTTTCCTGCTTGAATACAAGCATTTTTTTGGTTTTTTTCATTGGCACCCTGGTTGTTCTTCATATGGTATAGGCTTGAACAACATAACATAGTTTCCATCAACTGCAGTAATTTCCTTAACACCTATATCCACTACCAGAAACTCATTCATACACTCACTCTAATTCCCAGATTTCTTGACAATTAAAAATTTTTCATAGGATGTATTAGGATTATATTTATAAACTTTCCTAGTAACATACATCACATAAGACAAGATTTAAAAAACCTTACTAGATGCAAAAATGAAACCAACTCCAGCTGATTACAACAATCATTATAATATCAACACACAGTGTCTCACATGAAGTAGGAGACAAGATTGGAAAGGTGAACTTTACGTGATAGCCTTAGGGATCTTTAAAAACTTTTTGAGTGGGGCAGTGAAATGCCAAAACCAGTATTTTAGGAAGATAAGTTTGGTGTTGGTATGCAGGATACCAGAGGAAAAAGAAACCAGCAGATAAACATCTTGATGACAATAATCCAGGATTGAGTTCGACATTTGAAAAAGGAAGAAGCAACAACCCCTAAGATCTGTTCATATTGGATATTTGGCTTAAGACCAAAGAAGAACATAAGAATTTTACCAAAACATCATTATTAGCATGCCATGATAATGCTTATAAACTATAAAAGATGCACACACATACACACATACACTGTGTCCTTGCGGTCTCATGTTTTATGTAGCTTCTCCCGCAAAGAAGACAATCAGCACATTCATTGAGCATCACGGTTTGGCAGCTGCTGCATCTATCTTCAAGACAAGTCTGTAGTGATAAATTATTATCTTTATATTACAGAGGAAGAAACTGGGGCTCAAAGAGATTAAGGTACTTAATCAAACACCAGAGCTGGAAGAGAGAGAGAGGAAGGAAGTGCAAAAATAATACCTTTCATTTCAAGAACATTTTTCTGCTTACAAAACACATTCATAATTTTTATTTCTTTGCATCCTAAAGATAATTCTGGTATCAGTGGGAAATGGAGTTTTTCAGGGACAGCTTCTTGGATAACAGTATTTGAATCTGTTAGGCCTACACTCTACACATGGAAATGGAGACATCTTTCTCCCATAATACCAGCTTTCTCAGTGTTCCCTGTAATTGTCAAGATCCCTACTTCCCTAAAGAGAGTACTGACTCATCCCTTCTTCAGAAACTAATCTTCAATGTTTATGCCTACCATGTCTAAAATCACAACTTTGGAAAGACAAGGAGGGGGCAGGGAAAGACAAAAGCATCTAAGGTTCAGTTCGCATCCAAGACATTCTTATATGTTCATGGAGAAAAACCCATCACGTTGATGTTAAACTTTTAAGTGAATCAAATATGTCTTAGTAACTTGGCTTGATACTAATGCCTGGCAATAGGTTTACTTAAGCATGAACTGAGATTGTGCCCATTGATTTGATTGGTTCATGGAAAACATTCTGATTGACGCCCCTCTCCACAAAGACATGCACCAAAGGTTTGCCCAAAGTGATTCTTGCTGAAGATCCAATTGAAATATCTTACAAAATCTTGGCTACCTCTAATCAATTCTTTTCAGATATGAAAATATCTAGGAAATTCTGAGGAAAAAATTCCAACACATTCATTATCCACCTAACCTTTTTGTCTTCTTTTTCAAGCCCAGCAAGGTATTTTAGTATTTCCTCCTAGACTCTGTGTGTATGTGTATGTGTGTGCGTTGGAGGGAAGGGGGTTACTTTTACCACAACAAACATGAGGGTGAAAATCTTGAGAATTCTGGCATTGTCACTAGTTTTATCTGCAGATAAAAACCTGTACAAAACAGATAATGGCTTGTTTTGCACCTATTTTACATATATTTCCTACAGCTCACCTAAATAATTGTCTTCAGAGCTTATGTTCATTATTCCTTTACCATCTTCCCTGCAATTGAGTTCTCTGAATAAACACAGGGGCTGAGTTACAATTAAAAATAATGAGACCCTACTGGGCCAACGTCCCTGCATGCAATGAAAGGGTGTGGACTAATTGCAGGAGCAGAGACTTTTTCCCCCATTTCACTTCACTTTGATTGGTGGATTGGCACTTTAAATAAAGATTTTCCATCTTCCCCAAACAAGAGGTAAAGAGCAAGTCCCAGGCACAGTCCAGAAAAAATTTTAGTCTTCTTTTCTTAGAACTACCTTGGTTGGCATCACCAGGCCCTGAGAGCACAGTGCATGTCAGCACCTAAGGTAAAATGTGATTTTATGATTTCCGTATGTTTCATGTAAGTTCTTTTATCCTTTCTCCAGACAGCTTTTATAAAAAGGATTTATCTTCATTTGTCACCAGAAGCTGAGTAATAGCTTGTTGTAATGCATTAGCATGTTCTAGAGAAGACATGCCTAACTCCCATACAGCTAAGCAAAAAAAGACATCTATAGACTTTTTTTTTTACTATTTGTGATTATAATGACAGTGTCTAATTTAGAAAACTGTTAGAAGATGAGCAAATCTCTTGGCTAGTCAGATTTCCATTCTTGTAAGAGTAAAGAGACTTTTGAATTTATAGAATAAATTTAAAGAGATCATTCATTTTAGAAAGAGAAAAACTAAATTCAGAGACTAACATCAAAGGAAATTAAAATATTCAATTTACTCATTTGAAAAAGATAAGCTTTGTCATGTTTATGTAAATAACCTAAACATTGAATGATATACCCTATGTATCAGCAAAAAAAGATTTGTTATGAAATGATTGTTAGTTGCATTTCAAATGCATTTCAACATGTGTCTCAGAGGGCAAGCAAAGTATAAACTTCTGTAAATAATACTTGATAGACAAATATTTCACTTAATAGAAGGGATTTTTAAATTCATAATTCATTTTACAAAATGAAGCACAGCATTTAAAGAAGATCCATGGAGGTTGTTCCTACATGTATATTTAGATTGTAGCTCCACAAAAAAAAAAAAAAAGTGCTTAGGGTTTTTTTAATTGCTTGTCAGTTCATTCCAGTAACTGCTAAATACAAATCAGTTGTTTAGCAACATTTAGTTTTTGTTGGGTTTTTTGTTTTTTGGTTTTTTTTTTTTTAACCTGGTTGTTTTGTAAGAGCAGAGATTCAGCTCATTATAAAACTGTCTTTTAACCATTCTGAAGTAAAAATAAATCTGATTTAATTCTCTAACCCAATTATGTTTTAGATTCCACCTTCCAAAATGAAGGACCTGATACTGATCCTGTGCCTCCTAGAAATGAGTTCTGCAGTGCCGGTAAGTCAGTCTTCTAGAGTGTGCCCTCAAAGAGGCTCCTGATTGTTGGACAACAAACAACAGTGAAGGGACGTTGGCTGAGAGTCCATGCATGGACTCATTTATTTAATCCAGTGGTATAGTTCCTATTGAGTCAAAAGTCATAGTTGCCCAGATGTCAGCCTCATCATCCAAAAGCAATAAGTCAAACATAGAATTTTTATATTCAAAAAGACGTTTAAATACTCCAAAAGCAATTTCTAAGTCTTACTCCACTCATTCAAAGTTAAAAGCTTTAGGTGGTCTCTACCATGCCATGGCACAATTTTATTATCAACTCCTTCACATTATTATGAAATGGAAATGGAAAGAGAAAATTTTTCTGAAAAAGTAAAGCACGTTTTCATCATTTTAAAAAGGGCAATATTAGCCAAATTACTATGGTTACAAAACTGAGCAAGATAATTCCATTTGAAGCTAGTAATTAACTAACAAATTTACCTTGTAAGGGTAAAATTGTGTGACTAAGAGCTGAAGTTTCTTAAATCAAAACATGTCATGGCAATGGGGCTAATTGTACGTTACAGCCCTGCACCTGATCCACTCTGTCACATATTGAAATGATTTCATACAAACATAGTCCAAACAACTCCAGCCAATAGCATGGGATTCAGTTATTACAAATATTTTATTCAGCTGCTATATGCATTCAGAATGTATACTGAGCTGTATCCAGTAATGTACTGGGCACTGGAGACACATGGTCTCTCTTTTGAGTAGCTCAAAGCTGGCCCCAAATGAACTTGAGAGAAAAGGTTAGCTACTTGGTTTTCTTAAAGTTAAATGTTTGGGAGAAAGAGAATGAAAACTGATTACAAGGATGAAAACCTTAGTTCCACAAATAGAAAACAGAGTTTCTATTTCATCATGCAAGATGAATTTTAAATGAAAGAAAAATTGAGGCTGCAACCCTTTGCAACACTTTGTATGATACTGACATTGGGTTAGCCTTGGCCATCCACCATCAAACACATTGACACTCTTTGAACCTACCCTGTTGCACACCTGAGTCAATCAGGTCTACTCTGAGGAACAGCACAATTGCTCATGATTGCCAGCCAAATACCCATCAAATCAGATATTCTTCTCCTTTTAATTCCACAAGGGAAATGTATCCCGTCTATTTATATTCGTGTAAATATTGTTCTTTAATTCATGACTTGGAGCAGATGAAAAGCAAAGATTTCTCTGTCCTGTAGTTGAGCCTGTCCAAGATGTGTTGTTTGTGTACTGACAAACGGGGGGAAGAAGGCTCTGCTCTCACAGTCCCCTCAAATTCTAAACAATCTGCCCACCACACACACACACACACACACACACACACACACAATCACTCTTCCTATCTACACAGTTAACCTCTTTCTCTACCTGGAGTGTTTGCTACACATTTATAATGCCTTTCCCTTTATTCATGTCCAAAACTGAATAATTTGAAGAAATTCGTACCATGATTCAGAAAGTAGGATTTTACTTGAAAAATTAGGGGGTGAAAAAATAACAGATGGAATTTCTAAACTTCTTACTCATAAAGAAAAAATAATCCCAATACGTTTAGTAGACATTCCATGTATTTGTGACATAAATGAAGGAAGGACAGCATTATAACCTCTTGACCCTAGATAATGAGAATATCCAGAGAACAAGAGTCTCTCAAAATCCATTTTATTCTAATTCCTACTTTTCCATTCTCCATTTTTTTCTACTGGTATTTAGGTACACTAATAAGGATTGGTTTCCAAAGAGAAATATCTCACGTTTTAAAAAACTATTTGTAAATGTGGCTATATTTTTGAACAACTTTTAAAAGAACACATCAAGTATAACAGTACTTACCACTAGAATGCTTTTTTATTTAAGAAAAAAAATGCTTTTGGTATGATCCAAAACTATAGACATAGATTGATAGATTTATACAAAAATAATCTATTTCTAAAGATGATGGAAGATATGTTGAAGCCCTGTGAATGGGAAGCAAGTTGGGTTTTGCACGTGGTTCTTCTGAATGCCACGATTCCACATCATATCTCATAAACCAAAAGCATGTAACTTAGGAGAAAGCACATGAAAATTCAGTTAACATTTGTCACCTTTACTTTTTTATGTGACAATTTTTTTAAGAATATAAAGTTCTCTTAGTTTTCTATTTTCTTGCTTTATTTTAATTCTCATCGTAACTTTAAATCAAATTTTGCTTCTGAAACAACATAGTATTAAAATTCAAACAAAGGGTAGATAAGTCATGTGGGTGCAAAATTGTTCAATGTTATGTTAATTCTCTCCAAACAACTTAAATTCTTCTTCATTCTCCCCAAAAGCTCAAATATTTTGGGTAGTAAACCAATATGGTGGCCTGTCAGCTGGCTCCTGTGCATTGGGGAGACTTTCTATTCCCAATGTACATTTAAGAAAGTTTCTCACCAAAGAAAACTCAAAATTATCCTTATTTCCATTTAGATGTTTCCTCAGCAACCTGGGACACTGGGAATGGCTAGTTTGAGCCTCGAGGTATGTATTTTCAGAGTTTTTACATATAAGGGAGAAATATAATGGGTTATTTCTCCGTTTTCCTAGTCAGAAGTCTGTGGCTGTCAGACTGAGCAGTTCTAGAAAAGTTAATGACATTTATTAGAGCTTGATCTTATAATTCAACTGCATTTTTAAACTCCAGAGTTTTAAGCTTGAGAACATCACTTGCGCAGTATTTATCTTACACCCTCTGGCTTGCTACTTCATGTTAATCAAATCCTGTTGCATTGTGTCATCAATGTACTGGACAGGCATGGTGTCCTATGGGATCTAAAGATGATCTAGGACCCTCGGGACTATATTAAGACAGATTGCAGGACAGTTGACACAGTCAACTAATAATTAACGCTAACATATAGTATATTACTACATTAATTAAAACACGTTATTCTGTGGTCACAGATGGCTTATATTTAGTCCTGCTCCTTACAGTATCTTACATGATGAAGTTCTCACAAAGAAAATTTACTCATACAAAATTTAATTGCTTCTAAGAAGCCTGTAAATAGCATTAACATTGTACCGTGATACCTCCTGCATAGCCTGTATTTGTCTTCTTACAGTTCTCATAAATGTATATTCTGTTTAGAAAATGATAGCAAAATAGAAATTTTTGACCATGTCAACAAAAACTATTGACAGTTATAAATATGAGATTACAAATTTTTCATAAGGTCTTGCAAAATTTCCCTATATCATGACAACCTGAGGGCAATCAATACCTATATAGGCTATGTGCTTCTTTCATCTGAAAGCTAATTTTACTGAGGTTTTTTTCCCTCAATTTCTAGCTTAAACTCAATCCAAAGCACTCTACATGTCTTCTCATTAAAAAGTGGAATTGGGACCGGCCCGGTGGCGCACTGCTACAGTGCGCCGCTTGGGAGCGCGGTGGCCCTCCCGCCGAGGGTTCGGATCCCACATACAGACCGGTTCCCGCTCACTGGCTGAGCGAGGTGCGGGCACAACACCGAGGGTTGCGATCCCGTTGCCGGTCCCGGTCCGGTACGGGCGCGACACTGAGGGTTGCGATCCGTTGCCGGACACGAAAAAAGACAAAAAGGAAAAAAAAAAAAGTGGAATTGACTTTCTGTTGAAATGCTGGCATTCTTGATAATCTATCTAAATTCTTATTATGTCTTCCAATGTTTTTTATGTTTATTATTTTGAGGGCTTTTCTGTTTGGGAAGGAGGTAGGAGTTGTTTTGTTTTGTTTGTGTGTTTTTTCACATTCTTCTTCACACTGAATTTGTAAAAGGCAAAGGAAGTTAAATGCAGTAAAAGGGTCAATGAAGTGATGTCCTCACAATTACATTTACATTTCAGTTGAATGAGCTATTTTCCCATGTTTCAATGTGATCCCCAGTTAAATACTTTTTTCTTTAATTAATGACAAAAGTAAGTTTATGATTTTAATAGCAATAATAACAACAATGGCAGAACCATATTTAACATTTCTGCCTTTCAGTGATGGTTTGTGTTTACATTTGTTTTATTCAAATTGACCCACCCCAACTTTGTGCTGATAATGTCCCATATCCTGAGAAATCAGTTGTGTCAAAAGGAACATGTGTGACAAACATTAACCCCCTTTTTTTTCTTAATAGACAATGAGACAGTTGGGAAGTTTGCAGAGGTTAAATGCACTTTCTCAGGTAACCATATTTTCAAATATTTCCTACTGCAAGTATTAATGGTGGTGGTGGTGTAATATTAGTGGCAACATTGTAATTCATAAAATTTATTTGTGAATTGACAATATCCTAAATATTGGAAGAACAAATAAATAACTGAGATAGCCTAAAACAAAATAAGATGGGGTAACAGAGAAAAATAAATATAATATTGAATTTTCTTTAGTTAAAAAAAAAAATCTTTTCCTGCATTATCAATTATAATATATGGCCCAAAACACAAGTGCTTAAAAAGCTAAATATTAAACAAGTTTGTGAGAATATTGCAGTCTGGCTCAGAATGGAATTTGTGTTTGCTGGAAGGAAGAGTTTACCCATGCATTTTAAATTAATCAACATCACTTTCACTATTGCTATCTCTACGCTATCTGTGGGGTTTTTTTTAAATGAAAGCCAAGTTTAACCCAATATTGAAATATAAAGGTACTTCAAAATGTTTGTGGAAAAATAGTATTAAAAGAGAATATGAGTCTTTCCATGAACTTTTTGAAGGTCCCTGGTATAAGCACATCTTTTTTTCCCTCCATGTCTTCAGTATTCTAGATATGGCTTTGGGAAATCATTTAATTCTTTGTGGATGCATGGTCTCCTCCCACCACATTCCTCTTTCCCCTGGATGAGACCAAGGGAACATGAAACTCAACAGGTAAGTTAATCCCATCAGTGTGTTTGAAATTTCAGGCTTTAAAATCTTCCCCTATTTACCTTCTTTAAGTTGCGATATATTAACAATAGACAAGCACTAGTAACTAAAAAAATAAATCCAAATACCATATAAATCAAAGCCTATAACTGTTTTTAGTACTTAGAAAAATTTAAAATAAAACATTCCAAATTTCAATTCACTTGCATATTTATTTCAAATAGGAAGATATGGCCTCCAAAGTATGAGAACTATGTTAAAGATATTAGCAATAACAATGGATAAACAATCCTCAAAGATGGAAGCAGGCTATATCCTGGACAATTTTCATTTTAATCAAGATTCCCTAAATAATTACTCAAAGACTAATTCCAAATGATGCTATACAACCTGGTAAAAATACCATGAACCCTACAGAAGTCAATAAATACATCAATCTGTTAACCATTATTTATTAGGTGCCTAATAAATACATAAACCAAATTTTGGTTAAGGAGTGAAATTGAAGACATTTAAAAATGGCTCATAAAATTTCAAATCTGATTGGGAGATAAGACAACAGATTCCAATGTGCTGAATTGTGAGGTGTTAACGAACACCACAGGAGTTTAGAGATGGCAATTGTTGAAGAGCATAGCAGAACCAAATTATTGTGAGATGTCTATGCAGGTGAGAGGAGTTTGCAACTAGTATACAAGCAATAGGGAGCCATTCACCACAGATAATTTCTTCCTTTTTTTTTTTTTTTTTTTTTTTTGTGGCTGGCCTGTATGGGGGTCCAAACCCTTGACCTTTGTGTTTGCTGTAACAACTCGCTCTAACCAACTGAGCTAACTGGCCAGCAAAACCACAAGTACTTTCCAAGAGAAGCAACAAAACATGGGGTTTTAACAGGAACTTTTAATTCCAGATGGCCTTCCACAACAGGAGCATTACACACCAGGCCACATTTAATAAGACAATAATGTTCATGGGGACTGTTTCTCCACTTGATTGTTTCCAAAATGTACTCCATGCTGCAGGCACTTTATCCTTTGAATAACTCAAAAAATTTATTAAGTACCCACTATGTGCCAGGCACTTGTTAGGAGCTATGTTAAGTACAAGGGCTAGAAAGATAAATAAGACATATTGTTGGTTCTCTCTCAGTTGACTGGGGGACAAAGATTTATAATAAGTAATGATAATCCAAAGAGAAAGTGGTAAAATAAAGATACATAGAGGCAGCTGTGGGAACCCAGAAGAGGAAATGACTCATTCTACCAGGAAGTGGAGGGAGCTTCCCATCTTCATGAGCAATAGGGGTCCCAGAGAAGGTAGGGGAGGCAGGATACACAAGACCTCCCCCAAAAGCATTGACTCTAAGCAGATTGGTGCTTCCTGTGTAAAGCTTCAAGACAAGTCTCCTAGATTCCTCTCCAAACAGAAGGCCTCCCAAGCCCTTTGCTTTAGAAATAGTAGGCAGCACAGCTCAGTGAGCCATCCCTTCCTGACGCTCTTTTCAAATTTCTCTGCAGTATGAATATTCTTTGCCTGTGCACCCCCCGCCTCTCCCATCACAGCCATCCCTGCAGCCCCAGCAGCCAGGACTGAAATCTTTCCTCCAGCCCACTGTCGCAGCCGCCATCCAGGCCACAGCCCTGGAAGGAGAGCCTCAGCCTCCCATTCATGTGGAACAGCTGCCCTTGGAGCAAGGAGAACTTCCAGCAATGCAGCAGCAGGTGGCACCATCAGATAAGCCACCAAAGCCTGAGGTACTTCCAGAAGTAACATCAGGATCACCTGCTAACCTAAGGAGAGAAAACCAATTTGCTGGGCATATTTAAATAATCATAGCTCTCAGGCATAAAGCATGAAAATACAAATATATTCTTAATCAGCCTTTCATATCTGGGACTTTTTTGAGTAGAATGTAAACATCAATTCCTATTCTTTGTTCATTGACTGGTAATGCCATCAGAGACAGGGCATGAATTCTAAAAGATTCTGTGCATGTAAAACTTGGTTCCTTAGTTGCAAAAGATGAAAGCTTCCAAAAGAAATAGGGCAGCCCAGAGAAGTCCAAGCCTCCAGTCATTAGTCTTTTTCACTGTTGCAAAGACTGAGAAGAGTGATCAATCCCTCAGCATAAGTAGGATTTTGCATTATTATCTCTCTGACAGAAAGATGACATCCAGGCAAAAGGACCTCGTAATAATGGAGAGAAAAGAGCAATAGACAGAAAAGGAAAATTCCAACCACAGAACTAGTATGTGGCAGGCATTTAACATTCCCCCATATCATCCTGACTACAGTCCTATAAAGATAGATATTATCATTCTTTTTACACTTGGTCTTAGCCAAAAGGCCAGGAAGTGATATCACCCTTTTAAAAAGAATAAAACAGATTTTGTGAGGTTACAATATTTACACAAAAACTAAGTGGCAGAGCCATTATTCAAACCAACCAGATATGTTCCAATACCAAAATTCACGACTTTTTACTCTGTAAGACATAGCAAATCCATGATAGGCATGCCTCATCTCTCTGCAGGCACACTTGAGTCATGTTAGCAAGTGACAATTGTAGACTCTTGGGTCGTACCCTCCAAAAGACTAAAGAGAGTAAAATAAAGAAATTCATTTTAAATTGTCTTATTGTAATTTTAAACAAGATAAATATGTGTTCAGTTTACTTTGTCTATTTTGACTGGTAATTTGAATATTTATCTGTGATATAGCTCCCAGGAATGGATTTTGCTGGTCCACAAGTTCCATCAGTAAGTATAGACCTCAATGAGACACTTTCTAGGGAAAAATATCTCTGTATTTCAAAAAGAGTAAAAATGTTTAAACTATCTCCTTTATCCATGGGTTCCTTTGTTTTCTTAAATATTAAATATTTATTTTTCATACTAATCCATCTGAAAATGTGTTTCATATAATTCTTAGAAATTACTAGAATAGGGATTTGCCTGTGTGAATTACTCATTCTGTTTTCTACCACTTAAAGATATTCCAAATAGCCCGTTTGATATCTCAAGGACCAATGGCACAAAATAAACCATCTCCAGTAAGTTTTTTTTTTAAAATACTACTTCTCCGTTTGCAATTTGATTAAGTTTTCCACTTGGAAAAAAAATTTTATGATAACTTTTGTATTTTATTTAGCTTTATCCAGGAATGTTCTACATCCCCTATGGAGCAAATCAGTTGGTAAGTGCATATTCTATAAAAAGTATCATTTTTAATTAAATGTTATCTTAAGTGCTAAAATTGTAACATTCAGGCATTACAGGGGAGATTCCAAATAGTTTCTGAATGCCAACAATAGTAGCTGAAATAGTAAGGAGGCACCCTTCCTATTTGGGTAATTTTGGCCAGACACACAAACACATACACACACACACACAATAGTATTAAATAAAAAGTAAATTTAAGATCTGAAATTATCCAAGTTGGCTATGTTTATTTGATAATGACTCACCTCTCCACTTTACTCAGCTCTGGACATTAATATAAGATTTAAGAGAAAACTGAATGACTTTTAACTTTTTCTTGAGTAGATAAGGTAATAGAAGGCAGCTGGTTCATAACATGATGCACTGTTTCTTCTTAAACAGAACGCCCCTGCCAGGCTTGGCATCATGAGTTCAGAAGAAATGGCCGTGAGTAATGTCTTTAACTCTTCTTAAAAAATAGTGGCCAGGGAAGAATAGTCACGGATGACTGGCTGCAAGAGACACTGACCATGAATGTAGCTGAATGAGCAACAGGGCTCAGATTTTTCCATCCCAAACCAAAAGCTTTATTCTGAAGCAGTACCCAAAGATTTCATCACATCTCCTACACAGTCATTCATTTCTTCCATTCTTGAGCATAAGGTTTTGCTCCATTCCTTGTTCATGAGAAAATTTCTCCTGAAGGGCCATCATAATTCAACTGGCAACACTTCAAACCAAAAAAGATACATGTGGTTCATATAAAGTTCCATTCCTTCTAGGACGATTTGTTTCCTCAAAACATCAAATTCAACAGCATCCCAAGTAATTCAAACCTCAAAATTGAAAGATCAGAAAGGAAAATAAAACTAACCAAGTTTAAAATTTGATTATTGTAGGGCCGGCCCAGTGGCGCACTGCTACAGTGCGCCGCTTGAGAGCACAGCGGCGCTCCCGCAGAGGGTTCGGATCCCAAATACAGACCGGTTCCTGCTCACTGGCTGAGCCAGGTGCGGGCGCAGCACCAAGGGTTGCGATCCTGTTGCTGGTCCCGGTCTGGTACGGGCGCAACACTGAGGGTTGCGATCCATTGCCGGACACGAAAAAAGACAAAAAAAAAAAGGGAAAAAAAATTTGATTATTGTAAACTTCAAAGTGCATTAAGTCAATGAGAATATATTCTCATTCTGTTATCATTATCTGTGCATATTACAAGTTTAAGAGTTGATATCAACAGATTCACACAACTTGACATTTTCCCTCAGGAATTTCTACCTGTTACATCTGCTAGAGCAAACAAAACAAAACAAAACAAAAGCCATACTGAATTGACAAATCATTATCAACTATAGATTCTACCAAATTAATAAATTTGCACATATGCTATCACTGAAAGAAAACTCCCATCTTAACATTTCTGAGTGCCTTCAATAGGCCAGACACATGGGAAGATGCTGTAGACAAGATAAATAAGATTCCTGTTCTCAAGGAGCTTAAAATCTAATGAATGAAAATGATAGGTACCAGGGCAGATAATGTCAAAATCATGAGATAATGGTAAAAAAAAAGTTCTATTAAAGGGTAAGAGGAAGAGAGAAAAAGCAGTTAGTCCAGCTCAGGGATTCACAGTGCCATCCCTGGAGAAGATGGTGTAAAAGCTGAGCCTTAGAAAGTGAAGAGCCAGGAGAAGGTAGAAGGAAAGAGTATTGTATCTATATAAAACCAACACAACTGGCTGAAAATGCAAAATTCGAGTGTTTACTACCATCTCATAATATGAATTAAGTTATTTATATTCTGTCTCATTCACAAAAGATTTTGTGGTAGCTTACGAAAAAATACACAATAAAAATAACAAAAAATTGAAGGTAGGATTTAAAATGAGTGAAAATTACAAGGAAATTGGAATACAGGTATGAAAATCACACAGCCCTGCTCAATTGGTGCAAATAGCCCAAGATTTTGGTCCCAATATTTCTGGCAGCAAAGATGGAAAAAGAAACATGGTCAGTTCTAGAATTCTATCTGTCCCCAGGAAGAAAATATTTTAGTTCCCCCAGAAAAAGCAAGCTTTTTCTTTAAAAAAAACCAACTTACATGGGGCTTTATGTATTTGAGGTATACTGAGAAATGCCATTGACAATATCCTTCAAAACATCTCTCAACAAATGCAGTTATGGATTTTGGGGGGTTTTTTGTTTAATAATGGTAGTGAGAAATGTCCGTACACAAAACTGTCAGCCACCTCCATGTTCTCTATTAGTGTTTCCTAGATTCTTGGTGAATATGACCAGGTATGATTGCATGGTAAAGTTAACATAGTTAAGATATAGCATGTGATAATGGTGTCTTTCATGAATTTTTTTTTTTCAGGGAGGGAGAGGAGGCCCTGTGGCCTATGGAGCCATGTTTGCAGGTTTTGGAGGCATGAGGCCCAGCCTTGGGGGCATGCCCCCCAATCCAGCCATGGGTGGAGACTTTACTCTGGAATTTGACTCCCCAGTGGCTGGAACCAAAGGCCCTGAGAAAGGAGAAGGAGGTGCACAAGTTTCCCCTGTGCCAGAGGTCAACCCAACCAATCCAGAAAACCCAGCTTTCATTCCAGAGGTAGCACTTGGTGCCCACACAGGGCTCCTTGCTTTCCCTAAAGACAATATTCCTGGTCTGGCAAGGGGCCCTGCAGGGCAGAGGAAGGGACCCCCCAGGGTCACCCCAGCAGCTGCTGACCCACTGATGACCCCTGAATTAGCTGATGTTTATGGGACCTATGGAGCTGATGTGACCACACCCATGGGACCTGAGGGAGAAGCCACCATGGATAACACAATGACCCCAGAAACTCAGCAAACATCAGTGCCGGAAAACAAAGCCCAGCAGCCCCAGAATATGCATGATGCACGGCATCTCCAAGAGCCCTGACAACCTTGAGAGGGAAGCTACTTTCTGTATGCACAAGCTTCCCAGCTTTGTCCCCATAGTGTATCTTCTTGCTAAAACACTTATTACCCTTTTGCAGCAAAGGCATTAAAAGAGCTCAGCAGGTATTAATCAACACAAGTGGCTAGAAATAGTATAGATCCCCTTCTTGTTTTCATTCTCTTATTGAAATAAAATGTGTCAACTGTCTCTGTGATTTAGAAATACTACTAATAACATAGAGCAAGTCTAAGAGTCTCAGCATTTGATAATCACTGTTTCCTAGCTGTCGTAGGCATTACAGAATTTCTCTTACTAGCATGGCATTATTAAATCCAGGAAATGTGGCACTGCTTTTCTCTCTAAGCAAAGGTGTATATTCTCAGAATTTTAAGCTATTTCATTTAAACTTTATTAAGTGGGGATTGATGGCGAACTCTTGACTGGTATTACTGGGTTTGGTATACTGATTTAAAATTCTCATTTGTAGAGTATTTCATTTAATCTAGTAAAAAAAAAACTAGCCTATTTTAAATAAAGAATTTTTCTCACTGAAAATATCTGGAATCGAATGCTTATTATTTATACATATTCAAATGGTTAGGAAAAGCATACCCATCATTTACCTTTGTTACTCTTTAACTCATTTTATTAAATTCATTCATTCTTTCATTGAAAGTTTACTGAATATCTATCCATGTTCTAGGCACTGTGCCAGGGACATAGTCCCTTCCTTCAAAGCTTACAGTGGGCATGATTGACAAGCAAACAGACAGCCAAAATAATAATAACCACCGCCACCACTATAGCCAAGCTCAATTATTTTACCTACATTATCTCATAACAATACTGCAAAATAGATACACTCAACCCCACAGTACATGAAAGAAGTGCTACAAAAAGGTCAAAGAAGCATCTAACCAAGCCTAAGTGGAATCAGAGGGGCTGGAAAGAATCAGACAAGTTTTCTCAAAACAGTATCAAAAACATCTGCAGGATAAGGCCTCCCAGAAGAAGAAATGCAAAAAGTGTCATATGGGTGCCATGTGAGATTTAGCTCATTCTGTGAAATATGAGAGTACTTCAGAAAGTTCATGAAAAGATCTGTATTATCTTTGAATTTTATTTTCCACAAAGTTTGACATACCTACCCCACTCTCTCCACCTTCTCCCAGGTTGCCCAACCCAGGTCTTAGACTCCATGGAACTCAGACTTCCCTCCATCCCTTGATGGAGACTCTGGGGATGCAGCCTAGGAGAAAGAGCCCTGAGATGTCTCCCAACCTGGGATACTTCAAGAGCCTTAGCAGGGGCAGGTAGCCACCACAATGCCTCCCTCTCTTCAGACAGCGCTCTGTTCACCCCCACTCCATAGACTAGAGCTGAAAGAGAGAGGCAGAAGATAAAAATTCAGTTTGCCTCACCTAGTGGCTGTGGCAAAGTTGCAATGGTAGGAAAATGACCACAGTAGCCAGCAGACACACACTGAAACCTGCCTTAACATTACAGACAGTCTCCTAAAATACAGTATGGTAAAAGACAGACCGATAAATCTGGATTCAAACCTTGACATCGCATCTTATCATCTACAAGACTTGAGATGTGAAACTCAATCACTCTGCACCTGTGTTTTCATCTCTATAATGGGGCTACCACCTGGCTCATAGGGTTGTTGTAAGAACTAAATGAGATAAAGTACACAGATGAAGTTGCTGAATCATAGCAGTTTTCTTCTTTTCCAGTTGATCCTTTTTATAAAGAGAACTCAACAAAACAGCAACAGTTTCAGCAGAAGAATGTGATCGTTCCCATTATCTGGTGAATTTTTGCTTTTCCGTTCACACTCCACCCATTGCCCTTCTGGTCCTTCTTTGTAATTCTGAGCATGCATTTATGAAACCATATGCTGTTTTCCCTAGTGAATGTTGTCATATCTAGGGCTTAGAACTGGCCTCTGCTATTGGCAGGCTGGGCACTTAACAGCAGTATTAGCTAGATCAGGGACAGAATGATAAGTAATAAGTAATTGATAAGGGGGGATATCATGTTTTGAGTCCTTGAACAATTTCTATCCCTGCCATCATAGTCACCTCAAACATGGGATCACCAGGCAAACGCCAAAGTAGCCAGGGGAAGAGTCTAAATGCCAACCCTCAGAAGAGGCCATCTTGATTATTGAGGATTTTCTCCACTGTGGTTTCGCTCTACCAGGCACTTACGTGAGAAATAAATATCTTCATCTGTGTCCCATTCTGAGAGGTCTATCCAAATAATCTGTGTCACCAATCTTGCAATTTTATTTTTTCCAAGTCCCTGACCAAGTGACCAATCTGGTACTGACCCTGAGTCAGTGTAGATCAATATCTCAGGCCATTGATCCTTCACACAAAATGTACAACCAGATATGCCATTTAAAGTTCTGCACACTGGGGTTGTAGCGCATTGACTGTCTACTTCCAGCTGATGCCAGAACACCATATAGAAACCCATGAGCAAGGAACATACTCTTTCCTCTCCATTAATTGGTCATAGGTGGGGTAATCATATAATTGATCCTCCAAAGTGGGACACTTTTGATAATGAAAGGCGGTTGTCAACATTAACAATTATGTTGGACAATGGGTATAAACCAGTACTACCCAGGGCAAAGCTGGACATCTGGTATTCTAGTTTTATGGAACTTCCCATGAAGATAAATGTGTAGACTGAGGGAAAGGCATCAAAGTTATAAAGGGAAAGTACATGAACATCTGAACCACTAGCTTGTGCAATTTACTTGAGCCCTCCAGACCTGCTGAAGCCTCGTGTCATATATATTTCTACTTACAAAGGAATGCTGCCATTTATGTTTATGTTTATGGATCAGTGGATCATATATCACCTAGTTCAAGATGGGCAACTCAAACAGCGTAATCACTCAGCATTCCATAGTCACAAGTATTGTCTCTATCTAGGCCCAATAGCAAGGTAAGACCTACTTTTCACAAAGAAAACCCTAAGATCCTGTGCTATTATTCTCCTATCAGGTTTGCCACAGGTCCCACACAGCTTCAGATACTTCCAATACATTTGAGTCTTCTGGGTCACAATACCAAAGTGACAAGGAAGCTTACTTTATAGCATTGACCCATTTCATGCTCAAGTCCCACTCAAAACTATCAGCCTTTCAAGTTCTACAATATGTGGTGTATGTTGCCTTCAAAGATGCAACAATTTGCCAAAAAGTTTAGCTATCCCAACATGTCCCAGACTCCTATACCCCTAGAAATGTCATCAGCCCCACAACTCATGCAGTATTTATCTTACACCCTCTGGCTTGCTACTTCATGTTAATCAAATCCTGTTGCATTGTGTCATCAATGTACTGGACAGGCATGGTATCCTATGGGATCTAAAGATGATCAAGGACCCTCAGGACTATATTAGGACAGATTACAGGAGAGTTGACACAGTCCTAGAGCAAGACAGTATAAGTTTGCATTGTTCTTGTCCTTTAAAGGCAAAACTGCTTCTGATGTTTCTTACTGATTGGAATAGAAAGAAACCATCTGCCAGATCAATAGCTACATACTGGGTACCATAGGTTATACTGATTTTCTAAAATAAAGTTTCCACACCTGGAAATAAATCTGCAACTGATTCAGATTGTAATAATCCACTGTAAATCCCCACGACCCATTTAGCTTTTGCACGAGCCAAATGGGTAAGTTAAATGGGGAGGTGATAGGACACCTTCCCTGTATCTCTCAAGCCTTTGATGGTAACACTAATCTCTGCAATTATCCCTACAGGACTACTATCTTGTTGAGAATGAACAAGAAGGAGTAAAGTTTCAGGAGTTTCCTTCCACTTGGCCATAGCTTTTATTCCACTGGTGTAGCAGTCATTGTGGGATTCTGCCAGTTATTAGATATATCTGTTCCCACGATACATCCTGGGACGGGAGAAATAACCACATGATAGATCTATTGGACCTCCTGTTAGGTGGATGTGGAGCAAAATTCCATCTCTATCTGACTTCTTTAAACTTTAATCAGTAAACTGTGAAAGCTTTTCAAGTTCAGAACCACTACCTAATAACACCCACCACGTCTGGGTACTTCCCTTCCCCCACCCTACCCTACAATCTCTCTAGTAAATTGCTTCAGGTCCTTCTATAGAAGGTTTAGAAAAACTTTCATGGTATTCAAATGTGGCCACATTTCAGGGTCCTTCCATATAGGGACCTGGTCTCCCCAGGGGCTCTAGGTCTGAGAACTAGATAAGAAGCTATGAATCCCATTATGTTGATTGAGTTAGGGTCAGTTAATCTATTTTTTTTTTTCTGTTTATGTGAAGAGGATGTCCACCTGTTTGTTTGTTTGTTTGTTTTCTAGAGACCCATGATCAATTAGCCATTACCACAGAACTCTATTGGTCAAAACGTGCTGATTAGCATTTCATCCTGTGGCTTATGGTGGTCATTGCATCCTCTTTGCCTCTAAGAGATAAGCATTACCACCTGGCCCCTGCTATTTCAGACTCCCACTTTTCCCATTGAGATTCCAAAGCAGTATCCCTCATTATTATATCTGGCCTACAGAGAATAAAACTACATAGCTCTTCATTTCTTATTGCCTTAAAGAAAAAGTGTTTTCTGGCCTCTTCTGCTTGGAGAAGGATGGAGAGTGAATCTGGAGTGGCAAACATAATATATCCATGATACCAGTGTGTCAGGTGAGGCACACTTATCACTGCAAAGACAATAATCTCTATGCAGTACACAAACTTTTTCTTACTTACATTGAGTGATGTTGGTTTTCCATTTACAGATGCAAAAAAGAGGTTTCTTTCAAAATGAATTGTTTTTTAAGTGTTGAGATAAAAGAAAAAATATTAAGTAAATAGTAATTAGATGTGACAATAATCATAAAGACAGTCCATAAATGACTATGTACATAAATAAACTGTGGGAAAACACGGATTTAATTCAACCTTCTCATTTATGGGTGAGAAAACTAATG